GGGGGGGGAGCAGCAGGGGGGTTGTAAACTTCCCAGGACCAGGGGGGGTGCCTGCATCGCCGCCGCGCACGATACCTCAGCCCGCGTCGTGTTCGCCAGTGCCACGCTGCCCGTTGCTTGCTGGATGTGCCTGTGTGAGCAGGGGAGTGCGCGGGAGCTAGCCCCTGGGCCGTGAGCACATAGGACACAACTCCCCTCGCACCTGCAGGCAGGTGGGGAAGGGGGACAGCCACCCGCGCCTCTGGCCCAGCTTGCAGACCGTTCCTCTGTGGCCCTTTCTCCTTCCTGTCATCAGTAGGGACGGAGGGTGGTGGAGGCCTTGCAACTGGGGCTTCTCCTGATTTGCTTCCTTGGGCTGGATCCCGGGTTAAGTGTGAAGGGGCTTTTCCTAGTAGGACTCCCCAGGTCACGCAGACCCCAGGGAGTGGAGCTCTGCAGTTGCAGCGTGGGCATGCTGGTGCCTGCACCTGCCTGGGAACAACCGTCTCGTCATTGCAGCAAGTTTGGAAAACTTTCCCAGCTGGTGCCCGCGACGGCCGGCGCCGGCATGTTTCTAGCAGCGCAGCTGCTGAGGGCGCCACAAGAGCCGCCGTCCCTTGGCCAGCGTCGCTTCAGCGGTGCCGGCTCAGGAGCCAGCGTGGGAGAGCGGCCCCGCGGCTCTGCAGCCTGCGTTGCCCCGGTGGAAGCGCCCCACGCTCCCACGGCTCAGCGAGGCTGGCTGCACATGTTGCACGTCACGGGCCTCTCGGTGACCGTGCCTGAAACAAAGGCAGGATGAGCTGGAGACGGATGGGCTCGGGCAGGATAAGGGTGATGTTTAATAGCGGACTGTGATGAGAGATGGGAATTGCTGGCAATCTGTATCCACTGATGGATACAGCACCTGCGCAGTGAGCTGCCTGACCCGGCATGTAAACAAGCTCTCAGCTGCACCCTAAGGACAGCTGCGTGCTGCGGGAGGGCCCGCGGGGCGGGAAGGTGGCCGGTGGAGCTTGGAGGGGCTCGATAGCAATGGTGTAGCTGCTGGTTGCAGAAGCACGTGTTGGCTCTCTGCAAACAGCGCAGCCGGTCCGGACATGGGATTCCCAGCAGGAGCAGGGCTGCGCAGGAAAGGTGAGCCCGGCGGGAGCGACGGTGGGCATTGCTCGCGGGGCTCGGTGTCCCCCCAGGACCCCTTCTCAAGGGCATGAAGCCAGCAGCTAGACAGGGCACAGCACAGTGAGGTTTCTGCCAGGCAGGGGGGCTCCTGGGTGAGGGGGCTTTGCTTTCACCTGGGAGCTGGCCAGCCTGACTGTCGCCCGGGTGCCGGATCATGCACCGGGGAGGTTGGTGCTTCAATGCAGGATTTGAGGATCGCTGTTTTGAAAAAGGCTCCCAGACGGTGACTCATCTGCTGTAGGAAGGGCCTGGGGGAGGGGGAGAGGCGCTTTGGAGGGGAAAAGCAGGGATCTCTTCCCCCTCCCGCACGTCTTGCCAGAAACAGGTGAAACCCAGAAATCGCTGGTAAAAATAACCAGAGCAAAGAGGGACGAGCTGAGCCCCTGCGCTCCAGGCCAGAGCGGCAGGGCGCTAGCTACGCCACACCTGTGTTGCTTTTACTCCTCCCCAGCCCTCGAGTCCAGTCTGCGGCCCCCTGCCCTTGCTGCCCTCGCTCTTGCGCAGGCTGCAGCCAGGCACCACCGCCGCAGCGCCTGTCCCAGCACGCTGCACGGTTGCAGGCTCTGCAACTCTTCCCGCCTGAAGGAGCAGAGCTCTCCCGGTCACCCTCCGTGTCGCCGCGGTGCTTTGCTGATCAGCCGGTCTGAAAAGGGGACTGCTGTCCGCACACAGCAGGGTCTTAGGAACAGTCCCCGGGACAGGCTTTAATTGGCAAGTCCCAGCGAGCGGCCACGTGGGCCCAAGCAGTTGCATTCAGCCCGGCTTCTCTGGCTGGCGGGTTTTATGGCATCGTGTGATGCTACGTAATTCCCAGCTTTGCACGCTCTCCCCGAAGACTTACCTGGAAAGATTAGCAGTCCATCCCGCTGTGCCTTTGTCCCGCCCTGGCAGGACTTTGGCTGCTAAAAGACAAAACACCCTCCACCCCCAGACCTCGGTGGTGGCAGGTAGTTGACAGCAGACCCCGTTTCTCAAGGCTTGTCCTTATGTAACCAGCCGTCTGTGCTGAGCAGCCGGCAGCCTCTCGCAGCTCCTCTTCGTTCCTAGGCTCCTGCTCCCAGGCGCGCTCAGGGCCCAGGGGTGGGCGAGTTGGTCCCATCTGCCCCAGAGGTCCTGTGATGCTGGACTCGGCAGTGCCAGCATTTGTAGGGGGTCACTGGGAGCCAGGACACTGGGGCAATAGGCCTGCCTGTGCCCCGTCACTTCTGTGAGGCCCTGTCAAGGCTCCTAACCCTGTGGGTTTGGGCCTCGAAATAAAGCTGTGGCTTGCCGTGCAGACATGGTGTGAGCACTTGGCTCCTCTGAGCGCCAAGTCCCTGTTATTCAAGTGTTGAGGTGTTGGTGCTGGGAAAGCAGAGCCAAGTGTGAAGGTTTGGGTCCCAAAGTCCTTGTGCCTCAGTTTCCCCCGTGGGTGGCAGATGCAGTGCCGCGTGGGCTGTCTGCCGGGGGGGCTGTATGGGCAGGACGCAGCGATGGCTGATGCGTAGGGTGCTTTGCTGGAAGCGCTGTCCAGGTGCTGGGGGTTACTGCATGCAGAGACTCCCCAGTGGGGCTGCAGCTTTGCAGACCGCAGGGTGATGTTTTCTCACCGAGGACATGGATCTTCTCCCTCCTCTGGATGTTTTTGGCCTTCCCTCTTTCTTTTTCCTTCTCCGCTAAGTAAAGCATAACAGGGCAGGCCAGGCTGGTCTGTCCCCCCACGTGGGACTTACCGGGGGAGCGTGGCTGTGGCTCTGTGGACGCTGTGGTCCGGGGCCACCCTGCAGCTTTGTCCTCTTCCTTTACATTTTTGCGCAACGTTTCAGAGCCCCTAGCAGGGCCAAGAGAGCCCAGCCGCCCTGCTTCTGCATGTCTGATCCACTGCTATCCAGCACGAGCACTTCCAGTTTGCAGAGAGAGACAACTTCGAGTCATCTCAGAGCAGCGTTTCCAGACTTTGTGCAGTAGCAGACGGGAAAAGACAGGCCTGCAGCTCGGAGAAGAGTTGTGGCAGGCTGGGTAGCACTGCAGAGGGCCCTCCTCGGAGCAAGCGCTTGTCCAAAGCCCTGCCAGCCCCCTTGCTAGCTCACCAGGCACCTTTCTGTAATGTGCATGTGCTTTGTGGGCACCGGTTGGGAAAGAATTTCGGCCAGCACTTACCTTGAAGCATGCGCCTAAGGAAATGAGATGCAAGGACAAGAGGTCTCTGTATAATTGCTTTCCTGGACAACAGGGGGGTTTCCTGCTCTGAGGCCTACCGCAGGGGAGGTGGGTTTCTCCAGGTCTGTGGGGTGTGCGCAGCCTGGCGCCAGCACTGCCCTGCTGTCGGAGGCAAGGGGATGGGGCGTGCTCCACGTGTGGGACCGGGCTGTTCCCGTGGTGCAAGGCTCGTGGCATACCAGGGAGCCTGCAGGACTGCAGGCATCTCGCTGCTCCGTGGCAGGGAGCATGTCGCAGCCTCTTCCAGGCTGGAGCAGAGCTGTCTTGGCAAGGTGTTAACTTGGCTGCCAGGCAGGGCGGCACACCAGACGCCCCGGCAGCATCAGAGTGGTACCCTGGGTACAGACCAGGGTGCATTACCCGGAGAGGCACAGCACTCTGCCCTGCTTTCGCCCTTTCCCTTCTGCCGGTGCCTGCTCCTTCCCATCCCTTCCAGTCACCTTGTAGCAGGAGCACCCCGTGGTGTCTGTTGTCACAGCCCTGCTGCTGGTTCTGCTGACGGGGAGATTTCTCCCCGGGTGGGAGACGTGCTTGCTTCCACCTGCCACTGGGCTCTGTCCTCCCGCGTTGCTGAGGCTGGGCTGGGCTGGGGAGCTGTCGCCCTTCCGGGAGACGTGCCGTTTACTTACACATTTATTAATTAGCAAGAAATAAAGTTGCTGAGAGCGATCAAATTTGGAGAAAGACCTTGAGTTCGGAAGCGCTCCCAGAGGAGAGCTCCCTAATCGCTCCCTGATTGTCTCCAAGTTTAATTTGTTGTTGTTTTTACTGTAATGCGCTCATTTTTCCAGACAGTTTGCTGCGTCCCATTAGCTAGTGATGGCTGGAGATGAAGTTTCTCGATATTAAAACTTGCCTGTTGTGTGGCATTAAGATCTTCCCGAGGCCTAATGGCCTGGCAGCCGCAGCCTGCTCAGGCTGTTGTGCTGGCCATGCTGTGCGCC